ACAAGATATACGTTATGAAAGGAGGTGAAACGTTGAACTTAAAATATAGTTTCCCAGACGTCATAAAAATATTTGACGACCACAACATTTCATTAAAATTTGTTTGCTAAGTAAAAATGTCAAAACTTCTTGAAAGATGTTTGAAGAAAAACAATATAGACTTTATTTCATGTAAAGGACTTTACACACTTTTGAACGATATGAAAGACCCTGTTTTGTTTGTTCGTGTAGACAAAGGAAAGTTCTATGTCTTTACAAAATATTTGAACTTCTTAGACAGAGAACTTCAAGAAACGCCATGTGAAAGTTTAGATGAAGTTCTTCTCCACTTTCAGAAAAACTTTTAAATATATGTAAATGGCAGAAGACATAGTGGTTTATACTATTACGACTAAAAACCCTGAGTCATATAATTCTATAACAACAAACTTACAAAGTCCTCAAGGACGATATTGTAAACTGACCTTAAACACGATGACGACTAAAGCCTGTTTTGCTCTTTTGACACCAGAAGATTTTATTGTTGTGAATGGTAAAAAATACTCCTTTGAAGATACTTACTCAGATATACCACCAACAGGTTTTGTTGACTTATTTAATACTTTAAGGACGGATGTAACATGTGCTGCAACTAGAGCAGGTTTCATTATGTTTGGATGTCCGACTGAGTTTAGTATAAACGATATGAGCTATAATACAAAACTTATATCTGGTTTTTACTACCAACAGTTTCCTATAACAGGAAAAGGTGTCATACAAGGAATGTCTGTTCCATTGACTTTAAGTACACCTATTTTATATATTGTTTCAAACTTAGGTTCAAAGTGCTATTCGAATGTCGACAGAAACTACTATGACCAAAAGATACTCATGCGTATAAACAACACTTTCTCTGCTGGTTTGCCTATTGTTCATTCGAATGCAGAGTTTTCAGCTTTAGTAAACTCAAACACTTTAGCAAACATAAACTTAACCTTAGTTGACGCAAACTTTGTTCCTGTAAAACTTTTATGTCCTATGTATTTGTCAATGACGGCAGAAAGTTTCGAATTGGAAGATGCAACTGGTGAAAGTATTGTACTACAAGAACAACTTCAACAACAAATAGCTCAAGAACAACAAATGCAACAAATGGAACAAATGCAACAACAAATAGCTCAAGAATAAAAAAAATATTTTTTTTTATTTTTATAAAAAATGTACAGAATAGACGTTTCAGATTTTTATGACTTCCAAGCGTTCAGAAATATGTGTCCATTTAGAGACTATAACAAAGCAGTCGAGAATTTGAAACGTTTAGTCATTTATGTCGACTCTGCCCCAGAATGTTATGTCATGAAAGAATGGGATGTTGTCTTTAACAAACCAAAGCGACAATAGTTTCAGAACAAGAATGTAAACAGAAACTTAAGAAAATAAAAGTCGTACAAGTTGGTATGAAGATGTTAGATGCTTGGGATATCTTATTGTCAAAGTTAGAAGATTTTTCAGTTCGTGGTATAAAGTTCTATACACCATCTCCAAACTTCTATTCTATCTTCACTGGATATAAATACGAACAAGTAGAATGGAAAGAAAATGTTATAGAAGCTTGGTTAGACCATGTCAAAGAAATTATATGCAATGGAAACGAAAGAGTCTATGAGTATATCTTATGTTGGTTTGCAAACATCTTACAACATCCAAGTGCTAAAAATGAAACTGCTCTCATCATAATTGGAAAACAAGGAACAGGTAAGAACACTTTCTTTACAGATATCTTATGCAAACTGTTAGAGGGCTATTCGAACCCGAATATGACAAACTTAGAAAACATCTGCGGTAAATTTAACTCTTCAATAGAGAATATGAAACTTATAGTATGTAACGAACTTCAAAGTATAGATACAACAAAGTTTTGAACTCAGATGCTTTGAAGAGTCTTATAACAGACAAAGTTGGAGTTGTTGAAAGAAAATATAAAGACCAAAGAGTTTGTGAAAATGTTGCAAATTTCATCATGGTTTCAAACAACGCCGTTCCGATGAAGTTAGAAAGTTCTGACAGAAGATATGTAGTTGTCAGAACGTCAGAAGCTCATATGCAAGATACAGAATATTTTGACGACTTAGCAGAAACTTTACACCTACTTTTACAACCACTTGTTCTCATATTTCATGACATTAGATATTTCTAAGTTCAATCCAAGACAAATTCCACATACCGAAGAGAGACAAACATTGTTAGAAGCAAACAAGAGTGTATATGAACTGTTCATAGATGAAACTGACTTTGAGTGTTTAGATGAAAGGTCATTGTACGATTCGTATAAACAGTATTGTCAAGAGTATGGTTATATGACAGCGTCTAAACGAACATTCTTGGCAAATGTCAAAAGTCTTTTAGACGTACAGAATGGTGTATATACAAAGAAAAATTTTTCTGAGTAAATTTTAAAAAAAATATTTTTTTTATCCGATAGAAAAGATGACAAAATTCATCTCAGTCAACAAGTACATGTCAGGACTTAAAGAAGAACTAGACCCATTCACATATTTGAATGTTTACTTCTACCATTTTGAAAAGTCTACATTTGACAAAGTTTGGAACATCGAACCAGTTAAGTTTGCTATTGTGACTAAAAATGGTGCGAAATTTGAAGACTTAGACATAGAAGGTTTGTTAACAGTCAAAGAAAGTTTTGACAGAAGGTTTTCAAACCTTAAAGAAGGCAAAGCATACAAACTTGTTATACCTTATGAACCAAAGAAAGCAGACGACTATGAATATTATGAGTCTAAGATAGTTGAAGTTCAAGGTAAATTGGGTAAAAAGATTTTAGAGTCTAAGCCAGTGTTTGCTCCTAAAGAGGAAGAGAACATTGACATTGACCCAGAAATGTTCTAAAAATAAAATTTTATTTTTACATGTCAAATTTCTTTTTCTCTGGCTCTGGTTCTTTCTTCTCTTCTTCTACTTTCTTTTCTTTCTTTTCTCTCTTCTTCTTCTCTGGTGGAGTTATGTCAAACTTCTCAGAACCATATTTTTGTAAAAGTGCTTTGTCATTTAATAGCTCTTCTATTCTGTTTTCTATTTCATTTTCAAGAACAGCGCATGTGTCTTCTTTGCATTCTAAGAAGTTTTGTTGGACTTCATCTCTCCAAGAGGCGTCATCTCTGTCAACAAGTCTGTCATTGACAAATTTTAAGACTTCTCTGCTTAAGGTTTTATGGTTCTTGTCATATTCCCAGAAACAGAACTTTAGAACAAATTCACCTTTCTTGTTTACACTATGTAAGATTTTATGGTCGACAGATGTTTTGCTGTCGAAAAGCTTGTCTCGAATATAGATAGCGAAATCGCTAGACATTTCCTAAAAGATAAAAATTTTAATTTTTCTAAAAATATGTTAGAAAAAAAGTTTGCTGACATTGACAAGAAATTTGAGAATGTTTTAAATAAGAACAAGAGGAAGTTGGAAAATGCTCAGATAAAACCCATACATGACAAGTTCTTATTTGCTCAGAATGGTATAACAGGTCTAATTGCACCGCCTGGGTCGGGTAAGACTTTCACTTATCTTAAAATGGCTGCACAACAACAAGAACTAGATGAGAAGAACCCATTCTATGAGTTAGTAGTCATTTGTAGTACTTCTGGTCAATTTGACCAAACCGTCAATTCGTTCAAAGATATTATAAAAAAGTCTAAGTTAGTATGTATAAAAGATACTGAGTTGTTAGATTGGATAAAGAAGTACCAAAGAAGAGTTTTGAAGTACAATGCTATAAATGAGTATGTCAATTCTAAGTTTAAAGACCCAAATGAGGAAATGCAGAGAATATTAGAGAAGAAACACTTCAGAAACAAACAGAAAGAGATAGAATACATTTCGAAGAAATTGCAATCTTACGATTGGAAGACTTACCCTCATAGGTGTCTTCTTATCTTAGATGACTTTGCTTCTCATCCTTTGTTAAAGAACAGAGAACAAGACATGTGTCGAATTCTTAAGAAGCTCAGACACTTTAACATCTCAGTTGTCATTTGTGTACAGACAGCAAAGAGTTTAAGTAAGGATGTAAAGAGAATACTTACTGATATCATACTTTTCCCCGGATTGTCCGAAGACGATTTCATGGAACTTATGAAAGAGTCCATGGCAGGTAAGTTTGACAGACATGAACTATGGGAGAAGTACAAAGTCATACAAGACCCTCATACTTCTTTCAGAATTCACATCTACGCAAACAAAGTTCAAATTGTAAAAAGTCAAGCGTAAAAATGTAAGTGTTTGAGTCTTAGTCTGTTGTGGTGCTGGGGCTGTCGGTTCTTCTGACTTTGGAATGGACTCGGTTGGTGGTACGTCGGACATTCGTTTGTGTCTTGTCGGAAGGAAGGACTTTTCCTGTCGGAAGGAAGGACTTTTCCTGTCGGAAAGAAAAACTTTTTCTGTCGGAAGGAAAAACTTTTTCTGAAGGTCGGCCAAAAAGTTCTCAATTTTCGAAAATTTGAATGGTTTACGGACGGACAACAGAAAAAATTTTTCCTGTTGGAAAGAAAAACTTTTCCTGTCGGAAAGAAAAACTTTTCCTGTCGGAAGGAAGGACTTTTCCTGTCGGAAGGAAGGACTTTTCCTGTCGGAAGGAAGGACTTTTCCTGTCGGAAGGAAGGACTTTTCCTGTCGGAAGGAAGGACTCGGAATGTCGGAAGGAAGGACTCGGAATGCCAGAAGGAAGGACTCGGAATGCCAGAAGGACTCGGACAAGACAATTTACCATCTAGAGCTACCTGAGCCATCTTTGGTGTCAAGCTTGAAAAATAAATGGTTCATTTACTCTTCTTCTTTGAAGTTATCGAAATACTCTGTTATCTTTTCCTTCAGTAGCGGTAAGTCTTCTTTGAATGTAAGTATTGTACAACCTTTCATATCATAGTGTGTTTGAGGTAACGTATCTTGAACTATCTGTTTAACATCTTCATTTGGTGTCATTGAAATCGGTAAGTTTTCGCGATAGAACCAATTTCTGTCAGATTTGTAAATCTTAGCTAAGTCGTAAAAGCTTTTGTTGTTTCTTCTGACTAAATGCAACATAACCATATCTCTGTCTTCTTCATTTTCCATCTCTTCAGTGTAAATCATATACTTATAGTTCTTTTCCTTTCCTTTTGGTACCGAACGTGGTATTCTTTTCTGTATGTTTTTGTCTTCTTTCATCATATCTTCTCTCTGCTTTGTACAAAGTTCGTCAAGAAGTTTACAAACATACCATGCATAGCGAGGTGAAGCCCACATTGCTATTGAACTAACTAGGAACTTATGAACATATATACCTTTTAGATGCGATGGTAAGTTTTGTCTGTCTTGGTACATCTTTTTAAGTTCTACATGTTCAAACTCACTGAGGAGTTCATGAGTGCTATTTAATTCAAACCAGTCTTGTGGTTTCTTAGTATCTGGAGCAAAACATGCTGTCAAAATACTTTGCATTTGGTACATGTCATCTTTGACCGAACGAATGAGACGGAGTTGTTTGTTAAACTGAACCCACTCGTATTCTTCACTTATGGCTTCATGAACGATAGCAGTTGTTGTGTTCTCTGATGTTGACATTTCTGTCTTTACATACAAAATAAAAAATAAAATAAAAATAAAATTAGCGTTATTTTCTGACTTTCACAAAAGACCAAAAATAAACGCTTTACATGTATTTTTCAGCAACTTCGTCAAATAATTTTATAGCTTTACCTATCTCATCTACTTCAAACGTTTCTTTACCTCTCGTGGGAGCACCATACATTTTCTCAAACTTTTCAAGTAGTTCTGTTTCTGCAGCTCTCATATCATTAACGAACACAACCTTGACTCTATTGACTGTACTGTCATATCTTTGAGTTATATTATATGTCCTTCCTATCTTATATCTCTTTGTATTGAAGTCCTTCGGTTTCTGAACGATGTAAAGTAAGCCTTCACAGCAACGTTCCGTATCGAATGAACCATATGTTATGAAATTATATCCAACAACTGGGTCAATCCAGAACAAAACTACTGGTATAAGACTTTTGTCTATAAGATATGCTCTTGTTCCATAGAATCTTACCGATATCATCAGCTCAGGATTTCTTGTCAAAATTTTCTGAGTAGAAGCATTTCTAACCCAGTCGCTTGCTCTCTTTCCAGATGGAGATATAATGTCTGACAAAGAATATTTTTTGTATTTCTTTGAGTATCTTACGTTTAAATCACCTATTCTAACCACCTTGGTCTCATTGTCTATCTTTTTAACTGTTTCAAACTCAGTGCTTGTCATTTCCTGTTCTTACATACAAGATAAAAAATATTTTTTTAAAAAAACTAACTTTATTTTATTTTTTCTATCTTGTATAAAAAGATATGATTTCATAGAGTTTTTTTACGATTTTCATGAGTTTTAGGCAACCCCTGTAAAAGTCGGGGTAGCATTTTTTCACGATTTTCATGAGTTTTAGGTGAGTGGTTTTTTTTTACTACTCGCATTTTTTCACGATTTTCATAGAGTTTTTTTACGATTTTCGTACGGAATCTCTATCCTCGGTTTTCCTTGGGTAGCAAACATATGAGGAAATTCATGAAATTTGGTCATTTTTTTACGATTTCAGGGATTTTTTTTACGAAGTGTCAAAGTTCTCTTCGTCAAAAAAATACAGTTATATCATGAAATTTGGTCATTTTTTTCAGCAAAAATATATTTTAGATCTAACCAGGTCCCTCGGTCCCTCGGTCCCTCGGTCAACTAACATCTTTTTGAAAATGGTGACAACATGACATTTTGACAACAGTCCAGGAAATAGACTTCTTCGTCAATGTTTTTGTTAAGACTTTCATCGTCAATGAGCGTAAATCAGACAAAAATATATTTTAGGTGCTACCTCTCTTTTACAAGCGCTTTACATGGTATATGTTGTGATGGTTCATGACTTTAAACAGTTTTGTAGCTTCTATTTCTTCACGAAGGATATCAAAAATTTTAACGATACCGAAAGTTTCTTTATATTTCTTCTTGACGTCAGATAGAAGGAAATCGTCAGCAGTTGGATAGTTTTTGTTCAGAAATGTCAACATGTCCATTTTATCTTCTGCTGGTTTCTCTGCTTCTTTCTTTAAGTCAGCATAGCCGTTTCGCATACGTTCTATCTCTTTGACGGAGTAGTTATATTTCTTCATTGCTGCTTTACATTTTGAACAATGTGGGTTCATTTTAGCATTATATTCTGAAACCTTACCTGCTAAAACAAGTAAGGCGTAAATGGTTTTCTTTAACTCAAAAGTTGCTGGTTTTATTTGTTGGTTCCATACCTTACCTCTTCTATCTTTATCTCTTATCTGCCATACACATTTTGCAACTAACGAAACAAAGTTGTCGTAGGTCTTAAACTCTTCAGATTTGTATATGTCAATGAAATATACCATATCGCAGTCTTTGTCCATGACTTTGTGGTTGCAATGAAATCCAAGAAACTCATAGTTTATCTTTCGTATGAACTTCTTGGTTTCTACTGAGTCAGTTGGTTTCACTTCTATTTCATCGAATTCTGGAATAGTGAGCTTTTGTTGTTGTATTTCAGGAAGTTTAGGTAGATGTTCCACCAGGTCCTGCATTTCATAAAGATACTGTTCATTTGTTTCATCTTTTGCACTACAGTCTAAATCTCCTTGGAGAAGTTCTTGCTTTATCTTCTGGATTTCTGTTTCGAAAGTATATGAAGAAGGAATGAAGCTTTTCATTTCTACTAACATAGATGTTGGGTTCATGACTAAAGAGTTTGGTGAAGTTGTTGCTGACATGTTCTTACAATAAAATAAAAAATATTTTTTTAAAAAAACTACCTTTATTTTATTTCAGCACAAAATGAACGAGTTTTGTGTGTTTTCTACGGTGGAGCCAAAAAAGTGGCTCAACCTCAAAACAAGCATTTCATGAAGAATATACCAACCCGCTGTTTTCCGACGGTTGCTTTTTATACAAAACATTTACGATGAAGAAGTCTCAACAAAACATATACGAAGAAGTCTATTTCCTGTGTTGTTGTCAAAATGTCATGTTGTCACACATTTTCAAAAAAATGTTAGTTGACCGAGGGACCGAGGGACCGAGGGACCTGGTGACCCCTTCAGTTCTTCAAAACATTTACGATGAAATTCATGACAAAACATATGCGATGAAATCTATCTCCTGTGTTGTTGTCTAAATGTCATGTTGTCTCATTTTCAAAAAGATGTTAGTTGACCGAGGGACCGAGGGACCGAGGGACCTGGTGAGATCTAAAATATATTTTTCAATACTTTTTCAGCACTTTTCCGTAGTTGTATATGAAAGACAATTCGAGATAAAAGTCATAGTACAGTGGAATAATATGCTGCACACCGTTTGTTGTGAACCAAAATTGAAAGTCAGAGAAACTGTTACTAGGTGGTTCGTAGAATTTAGAAGCAAAGTCATAAAAGTCCTTACCGATACAAAGAAAACTGTTGTTGCTTGAACTGAAACTTGCATGACACATGACATTTTGAGGGTCAAACACGTTTCTATAAACTGTCAAATCTGCTGGTGGGAGTATAAATTTAAATGGACCATCTGGTGGTAATGGTTCGTTCTGGTTTAGTAACCGAAGAAATTGCGCTCAAGAACGTTTGTCCACCCCCCAATATAAAAACTCTGTATCTCTTGGAGGGTTAATTTCAATCTTTTGAAATGAAACTGTGGAGTTCATCTTGTCGTATTCTAGTTTTAGATAGTATGTTCCATTTAGTAAAGAGTGGTATTTTTCTTGAAATTCCCAGTAGTATTTGTTTATTTGAGTTTGAAAGTCATTTAGAGTTTTTTCAAGACTTTCGTCTGAACGAATTGTAAAGATTTTCATTTCGTCAAATTTTTCTATTAGACCATCAGAACCTTTATACTGACCGTGAAAATATACTGCGAACATGAATGCATTAGTTCTATTTGAAAACAAAACTCTTCTAAATCCTATTGCCTTTGCATCTGAAGGACTTTGAAGCCAACGAATTGGATAGTCAAACCTATAAGCTCCGGATGAAATTTCTTCATCTGATATATTCCTGCCAGCGTTTGTAAAGATATAGTCTAACGGTTTTGTATCTGCTACTTTTGTTCTTTGTTTTTCAACCTGAAGCATTTTATATATGTAAAAATATACTGTTTTAAAAACGTTTTAAAATGGTATGCCATATAGCTTCTTGAATTTGTTAAGAAGTATTTTAACGCGTTTTCCATCTGTATCTCTAGCGTTTACATAAGCATAGCCTTCCTTAGTAAAATATACTTGTAATTTCCTATAGTTTACGCCGGTATAAAAGTAGAAAGAGTCTTGTTCTTCGCTATAGTAGTAAAACTCAAACGTATGCTTGCCATAGTCTGTAATTTCAATTGTTTCATCTTCTAGTTCGTCGACAAATTCGAATACAATATCTCCAAATTTGCCTTTGTTCTTATTGTTTTCAGAACGAGTGACCCAACGTAAGTTTTCAAGTCTATTGTCATTTCTTATACGGTTTATATGGTCTACAAAAGGTAAATTGTTAGGATTCGGTATAAAATGAGTTGCAATGACAATATGTTTAAAATAGTGTTTTCCACTCATCTTCATAATAGCATATCCGTTATTTCCCTCCCATTCGCTTAAAACTCTTTTTGTCTCCTTTTTTCTGACTTCAAATGACTCACAACAGTGAATTTCATATTTCTCATCTAACAAACAAGTTTCCCAACGGTCTTCTCCAACAAACTCAGCGTACATTTCAAATAAAATAAAAAAATATTTTTTTTAAAAAATGTTTTATTTCATGCAATGTTTTATTTCATGCAATGTTTTTATTTCATGCAATGTTTAACTATTTCACCATCTTCTTTAACACCCCAGTACTTACGCTTGGAGAGAACATGAACTTCGGAAAATACCTTGTCTAGCTTAAAAAAGCCCATCTTTTCACCGACCATTCCCATTTCAATGAGTTTGTTGTATCCTTCTTCGTTCGTCATGAGCGCATCGATGTTCTCATAGTATACCTTCACTTTCGATTTGATTTCGGAGAAGAATTTGTTGTAGTTGTCAAGGACTGCCTTTGCGAACTGAGGATAGGACCAATGTTCGACAATAGGTTTTACTGTGGTTACTAAGCCATTTTGACCTTCGGTGAACTCGTATTTCAAAACAAAAGGAGAAAACCTTTCAACAAAGTTGTCGACCTTCTCATAGTGTTTACTCTTCATCTTTTGAGGTTTCTTAATGGAATATCCCATGTCGAATTCATAAGCAATTTGAGTGTCATTGCAAGTTTGGGATTTGAAGCTTTCCTAATATCATACATTGTTGTATGACTTTTCCAACTGTATAGTTCCTTCCTGATACTCACCATCTTCGTTTGAATTCCAGTCGGGATATATTCGACAAACCTCATGTACGCAGCGTTAAGGTCGACATAGTATATCTTTTTCATCTGAGTCGAACTTGTCGCAAGAATCGGTCCAGTTTCGTGGAAATTACAAGTGAGTCTCTTATCTCTTTGAGAAACCTCGCCTGTATCTCATAAACATCGTCAAAGCAACCTGTTTCATATAAAACCTTCTGACCTAACTCAGAAGCTCTCCAATACAATTTGACGTCGACTGGATGCCTCAATGGAAGTTTGATAGCATCTTGAAGTTCTTGCAACCTCATTGGAAGTTCTTCTGGTTCAGGTTGGTATCCGAACAATCCAACTCCTTTTGGAGCTGTGTACTTCTTTTGTGCTATAACTTTGTCTGGAACAACTTTTGGTCTTACAACAATGAAAAGTTTGTTTCGTCTTTTGGTACAAAAGTTTCTGTCAGCTTGTCATCTGGAATTGGTTCCAACAAGCCTTTCTCGAAAAGAATGTTAACAGCTCTGACAATGTTGCACTTGCCTTTTCCGAACAATGGGTTTGTAAGACTTTCGTTCAACATGAAGTGGTTGTGGACAAGTACAATCTTCAACCATGGCAATTTGAAGTCAACAACATAGTCGTCATGTGAAGAACCTTTAGCTGTAGGTATGTTGACTCGGATATTCACATTTGCCAACGGTGCAACTTTTGACAATTGACTTCTGAGAATGTACCTTGTTTTCACACATGACTCAAGATACTTCATTTTCTCACTCTGTAACAAGACCAGAGTTCCTGAGACATGTAAGAATACAAGGTTCATTGACAATTGTTTTCGAATTGAATTGTAAATTCCATACCTTGTCAGTTAATGTCAGACTTGTTTATGAACGGGAAGTATCCAGCATGTTTCTGACTGCTTGAGGGTTAGGTTGGTACCATTCGAACTTCACGCTTGCAATTCCTTCAATTGCATTCAAAATATCTGAGTCGGAGTCAAACATTTGTTCTCTCTTTGTAGTCTTGAAAGCGTCCAAGAAGTTGTGCGGCTGTTTGCGACATTGCCATGTGCATAGTAAATATGACCATCCAAATCTTTACGGTTAGTCTGAGATTGTAATCCTTTCTTATTTCCGTCTTGTATGGCAGCAAGTACTCCCATGAAGCCTTCTTTGTTCTTTCCTTCGTCAAAGTTTACTGTAAAGGTTCGACCAGAAGTAATTTTACTTCTAACTTCACGATACTTTTCATATGCATATCTTGTTCTTTCCATGGGAGCATGTGCGTCTTCACCTTTTCCTTTTTTCCGTCTCAAAGGATGCAATTGTTCGTCATGTTTCCAGTAGAATCTGGCAAAGCCGTCGTGTCCTTCAACTTGAGGTTCAGTAACATTGAAAGGCATATCCATAAGACGCTCTTCTTCTAACCTCTCTAGTCTGTTTGGATAATTTGCACGTGCTGTTTCTAAGTCCATTTCGTAGCGAAGACCAGACAATTTGTCATAGACTTTTATGGGTCTTCCCTTCCTATATTTAAACTTCTTTGAAACTCTCCAGCCATATCTTTCTAACTCTGCTTTTATTCTAGCAGATTTTCTATCCATTCTATACGGGGGCATTTTTATAAAAATAAAAAAATATTTTTTTCTTTACTTTACATAAGCACTTGCTGCCATAAGTCTTTGACGCCAACCCATACCAGCTAATGAAGGTTGACTTGGTTTAGTATTGAAACTAACCTTTGGTTTTGGTTTATCTTCAGTTTTTGGTTTTTCTTCTTCTATTGGTTTTTTCGTCACTTTTTGGTTCCTCTGACCTTACTCACTTGCTGGAAGTTGTGTCGTCAACATCTTCATAAATGTCATATGCCATTTGTTTTTGTTTTCCTTTCAACTTTTTGTGTTTGTTGTAAAGTTTAGAATATTTCGACTCTAAGTCAATGAGATGTTCTATAATGAACTGTTGGTCAGTGAAGTAACTTTTCCATCTGTTGTCTCGAAAGCTCCTTCAGACTTCAATATTTTATTTGTGAGAGTCTGTTTCTTTTTTGAGATACTTGCCGTTCCATTTTTATGAAAAGTGACTTTGTAGTTAGAGTTTGTATTTCCAGACCTGGCACTTTCTATTATTGAATTTTTCTCTTCATCTGTAAGTTCTTTGACAGGTTTTGACAATGGTTCTGAACTTTTTGTTTGTGGTGTCAAATCTACCGTTTCAACTTCTTCGGTCATTTCATCTCAGTAAAAAATTTTATTTTGGTTTGTTTCAACCTGGTTGTTTAGGTTTTTTAAGTCGGTCTAAAACTTCCTGAGGTATAGGAAGAACTTGACAAACACGTGGTTGTGTAACTGCTGGAAGCCGACAAATCCATCTTGAGCCCATTTGTCTCAATGCTGTATTGTTCATTTCATCTCAGTAAAA